CCCCCCCCCCCCCCAAAAAAAAACCAAAAAAAGCCCCCAAAAAGAAAAAACAAAAAATTCTCAAACAAGTCTTCAAACCTTTTCTGCTAACACTAAGCCCACAAGGCAATTAACTTAAGCTTGGCCATAACTACACATGTGCTCACTGGAGAGATGTCTATCCAGATAAGCTACCCCGCTTCCTTCTCCCCCCACTCTCCACCCCCTCACCCCCCAAACAATTTATGTTCCCTCTTGTCCAGGACACACAAAGTGAGGGACAGTAGAAGTGGCACAGTAGATCAGCATTCCCCCTCTACGTGCGGTTCAGCGTCTGGAAGATTCGAGAGATCTGTAGCATGACAGGCCCAGTTTCTGGATCATTCATCCACTGAGTGCTGTTTAAGGGGTTTTCAAGCATGTCTTCAAAGGCTGCCAAGAGAAGGAAGAAGTACTTAGCTAAGGATGACCAAGTATTTAGGATGTTTTATGTAAGGGGAGTTGGTTTTAATTTCTGTGGAAGTGATCAGAGAGTTGCCATCACAATTCGGTCAAAACCAAGAGTGAGCATACTCTAGATATTCTGTGTTCCTCTCCAAATGTTCCATATACATGGGAACGCCAGCTGCAGTTCTATCTTCACCAGGTTGCTCCTTCAACTGGAAACAGTATGTTAAAGAGCCTCAATTATTGTCTCCCACAGGTCAGCCCTGGATGTTGTGCGCTGGAGGGGGTGGGGGGATTGCATCTCTGAAAAAATCTCTTTACACAGCCCCTTTATCAGAGAGCAGGGTCTTACATCCTATGGAACAGGCACTACAGGCAATGGAGGCCATGAATACCCAGCACCTCTGAAAGGCATAAATACTTTGTTCAAGGTCACAGGTCTCTGGCAGAGCTGAGAATAAAATACATACCTCATACTTTGAAACCTGACTACACTTTTGGGGGAGGACGAGAGATTACGCTATGCAGGACTAGAGATTTATCATTCTACTATGATTAATGCTTTTCTAATTAAATGAAACTATTACCAAAATCAGAGACACTAGCGATTTGCCAATGTATCATTCAAAGTACTATGCTCCAGTTCTCATCCAAGCTTTGGACATGTATACAATGACATCTCATTTTCTATTTTTATACCCTGAGCTGTAGTGTGTGACTGCTCTGAAATAAAGGGATTATTTATTTAGAGATCAGGGTGGGCAGGTTCTTCTCCTGTTTAAATGTGATTGCTAAAGTCAGCATTTTAATCAATGTAGGTATTTTCAAAAGCTTAATCATAAAGCAATAGGGAGGCAATCTTTCTTTAAAAGCATTCCCATACCTAAAAAGCCCAGGCGACACTGAGGCTAAAGAATAAGCACGCCATTTATATGCAGCATGGAAAGTAAGATTTCCCTCAGTATTATCTCCCTGTGAGAAGTTTCCCTAGTGACCCATCAACCACAGATTTGCATTTCATTCTCTTTTGGGCTCATCGACTGTGCACCTTTCCTTGGCGCAGTCTTTTTGACCAAGAAAAGACAGGCACTACAGGGCAAAACTCCAGGAAGGGTACAGCATGTGTCCACAGCTAATATTTCAGCCTTGGCAGGACAAGGCTTTAGCTCACAGCTTTCAATTTGGTTAAATTCAGGCAACTGCTGCCCACTCAGCAGGGAGTTATGCAGCAATTGTACTGCAGCATGCTCTCTCTTGCCCACTATTTGCAGACAAGGAACTGAAGATTTCAAACACAGGTCTCCAATTTTCTTGCCAAAATGTGGATAGGGGTCTCTCAGATCCTCATGAATACCCAGGGGCTTCAGGGTGTTCCAGGTAGCAGCAATTCCCCTGGAATTCAGGGTTACATCTGTGGTAGTCTCACAAGTGTTCAAGCTGAGAAAGGCCCACAGAGCAATACACAATAGCAAAAAACAAGCCTTCAGTCCGACTAAAGGGGAAACAGTAACAGCATCCATATTGCTAACTGCCCTACAGTTATAGTACTTTGCATTTGTTACCTACTGCAAAAGTGATGCTTCTTTGCCAGAAGCCCATGACATACTTACCTAATAGCGTTTTAGGGTTTGTTAGTCCTAACTGTACCACTGGGTTTTCTAGGATGGCTTGGAAGAGAGGGCTGTTGGTGTCAATTCCTTTATCTAAATCCTCTGGAGAGGGCTTTCTGTCTCCCAGCAGCCATTCACACTGTACAAAAAACAAAAAACCCCAGCAGGCATGACAAGGTCAGGAACAGTTCTATTAAAATGCAAGTTGGTAACACATCCAATCTCTCAGATAAATAAGGCGCAAGTTAGGACATTCCAGACAAATAACTTCTCCCTGTGTGTGGCTTGAAAGACTGAACCACATGTATTAAACACATCAGCTATTATTCATTGGGATGCTGCTCCCATTGAAGCCAACTGCAGAAGTCCTGCATGTCACTGGGTGTAGGTCTAGCACCTGAGGGCACCTATATACAAGCAGAGAGGCTGCTCTGATGCACTTGAAATACAATACAACACAATACAGACTCAATTAATTGAGTCTGCTGGAGCATGGTAATTACTACACTCCAGCAGACTCCAGTGTCATGTGCATCAGCATCCCCACACTGAGAAATGGTGGCTTTAGTTAAAGTGCCCCCGCCACCATTTTTCAGCACGGGGATGCTGATACACGTGATACTCCGGGCACTTTAATTAGAGCACCCTTCCCCCCACCTCTTGGAGCATATCTATAAAACGTCTGAGACAGCAAAAAATGCACCAGGCACATGGATTTAAAAAAAGCAGGTGAGGTGTCTCTATACAGGTCAGCCTGCGGGCCTGCTGCTTGCTCCAGAACAGTTAGTCTCCTACACCAAAAGTCTCCAGGATTTCCCAGTCTGAATATGAAGGGGCACTCACTGATTCAACTTTCAGGAGTGGCTATCTTAACTCAGGCCTTCTCTTTTAGGCAGCATATACTCTATGGGGTCCTGCTGTTCACAGCATGTGTCACAGGTTCCAAAGGAGGGCCTAAAAAAACCAGACACATATATATCCCTGACCAAAATTCTTCGTCTCAACAATTTTCATGTGGAAACCATTCCCTTCATATTAGGCATTGGTTGGCTGCCATCTTCACCCCAGAAGTGGCTACTTTCCATAGTGGTTTCATCTAGCTAGAAGGGTGCCTAGTATTAAGCAACATTTGTTTCAACATCAGTCAACATGGGGACTGGTCTATTAGCAGCAAAGCAGTTTAACAGAGTTTGGACTGAAGTGACCAAAGCACCATCCAGGCTGGCCACCAAAATTCTCAACTCAGAAGACAATATGGAATAAAAATCACAGTGAACTCACAGCTGCATTTTGCTGGTTGTTGTTTACTCTGAGTGCGTCTATCACCTCTTTTTCATCAAATCCCATCTCCATCAGGGCAATGACGGCCTAAATCAGAATGACAGCTCATTACACGCAACATTTAACTTGGTCTATAGCAGCCACAACATGTACAGGAACAAACAACATCCTGTTGTCTTCTATACAGGGCCTTTTGGTGGGACAGAAAGGGGTGTGTCAAGCTGTCAAGTAGCAGTTTATGTTATCCCCAAAATACCAAGAAGCAGCAGCAGGCTAAATCCTAATTGCTTCTTTCCATGCCAATTCAAGGCTGTGACTCCTGGCACTTTAGTTATGTGAGGTTCTTTCCCTTGCTGTCCTGGAAACCAGAGCCAAAGATTAGCACAATAACCACAATTAGTTGCTATGATGATTTTTATTAATAAAAGAAAGGAAAACAGCATCAAAAACAGCCCAAAACAATGGCTATCTTCAATTACCAAGCATATCTCAGTCTCTTTGAAGAGCTTTTAACAAAGATAACACCTATGAAAGCATCTGACCCTTTGTTAGGAACACTCTTCTCTAGATAAGTTAAAACCCAGGTAAGTTATACCTTGGGTCTGCATATTGTAGATAACCTAAATAGTTTCTGGACAGCTAAAGTAATTTTGTTAGCAATCAGCAAGTCCTGTTCACTCCATTTTGGATGAAGTGAATATTTGGTAAATAGTTAAGAGTGCTCACATTAAGCTACAGTCTTAAAAACCAAGAAGTACTTTAAATAGTTATTAAAAAGAAGCCATTTTATGAGCAGTCTTGAGACAAGCTACTGTTAATTAAAACTGGTAGTGGGATTTAATTCGGTTTTAGGATTGTTAATGTTTACTAACTGGTCAGTCTTGAGATTGACCAGTTAGTAAATATTAAGAATCCTAAAACTGAATTAAATCCCGCTACCAATCTTAATTAACTTTAGCTTGTCTCTCTTGGCCAGTCTATGGTCCCAGCATTGTGGCGTTTATTAGAAGCTATTCATGTCTTAAATTACAATAGTGTTTCATTTGGGTGAGAAGAAATGGAATGCTGTTTTTCCTTACTGCTCTGGGCTTCCTTTTATTTGCCTATTGTTGCCCACTGCTTGCTTGTTTTCAGAGATGAAGAGGTTGAGCTATGGTGAGTGCTTAACAACAGTCCTTCCTCAGCCTGAAGGAGGGTACTTGTACCCAAAAACTTGCAAAAAATTTTTTTTTTCCTACTATTTGAGTTGGTCTAATAAAAGATATCAGATTTACCCAAAGAACCTTGTTCAACAACATAAAGGAAGGAAGAAGATTCTTCTGCGTGTCATGCAGTTTCCAGGAAGGGTCCTTCTACGGTCTTACTGAAGAAGGCATGAGCATCTCTTAAGCGGTGCGCCAGGTGCAGCCCTCCTTTCATTGGCCCAGCACAATTGTGGGATTATTTTGGCAGCTGAAACCACTATCTGCTATGGCTACCTCTACTCTCCAACCCTCCTACACATATGCAGGAAAAGTTGGATTTTTTTTTTTATTTTATTTTTTTTTTGCAGCATACTGCTTTGGTCTCTGTAGCAGAAAATTCTCAGAACATGTTTTTAAATTAAATTTCCAACTTTCCTTTATTCGTTCGGTCCATTTGCTGACATATTGTTCCAGTTCCATCAGGGCTTGACAAATTTAAATAACTCTGTGTTTTATACAGTCATTCAGTTATCAGAGCACTCTTTCTAAATAGAATTATTTTATAAAAAGTTCCTTTATAATTTAAGGCTAGCCACTTTAGAAAGCACTGTCTATTCATCTTCAGGAAGGGGTCTTCTCTTTGAGCTCAGAAAAGAAGTTGCTAATGCACCATCAGACAATGCTGAATATTGGGGGATTATTTTATACTCAAGTTGCTTCTTAAATGGCATCAGATGGCCCTGTTATGACTGTACATAAACCACTCATTACATAGGAATTACATTACGAAGTTGAATTAAAGGTTGCAATATTCACCCATTACAGTATAATATTCACCCATTACAGCTCTTGGTCTGGAAGTGATGTGATAGAGACCTTGTTGACAAAGGTATTCACGGTACAGCACTGACACAGCAGTTTGGCAAATATAAAAACACTAATAAAAAAAATGTACCTATAAAGGAAGCAAAATGTCTTATAAAAGAACTTGCCTCTAATAATCCCTACAAAAAACATGTTTGGGGTAGGGGGTGGGAACTCGTCTTAACACTACTTCTTTTCTTGCTCCTCACCTTAATTACCTGTAGGAGGACAATATCAGGTGGCTTATTTTCAATTAAATCTGTTAGGGGTTTAGTTACTGCAGCATGTGCAATATATGAGCCACGGCACTCATTTTATTCTGTGCACTGTGATAGCTAAGAGACTTAGGACTCGCAGGAAAGCAAGATGCCATCTCGTAAGAAAGTTACAGCTTAAAGAAAACGTCTAGGAGGACAGATTGTTTTAACTTAAGCATCCACTTTTTGCACTCATTTTGTATGTACTTGCAAACAGAAAGTACATGCTTCACTCTCCCTCGTTACCTAGTATATACCCATAGGTTCAGCCTCCCATCCTTGAATTCAGAGGGGTGAGCCTGTATAGCTAAACAGATTTTGACATCCACTTTCAGATTCAAAACATTCATTGACACTACGACAAAGGCAGCTCCAGTTTGCAGCAGTCACTTCTCATATGCCATAATCCTCTTCAGACATTGTTATCCTTTACTCAGTTTCTAGGGATTGGATAGTTATGCACATGCTGGAAAGACAAACAGACTAGGAAAAGCAGAGGTACCTGTATTGTGAACACCTCCCTCATGAGACTAAGCTACAGGGTGCATCTACTTTGGTAGGAAGCCCATCATCCTATTCAAAGGGTGATATCATGGCTATTGACCTTCACCCCACTACCTTTAAAGGAGCTTCCTCTCTTAGTTGTGGTCTGAAGCCAAATACTCTACATATTTATGGTGCTGCCCAAACAGCAATTCCAAATCTGTTTCACATTAATCTGAATCTAGTCCACTTCCTACTACTCAGTGGCACAGCAATGAAGTTTGGCACCCAGGGCAAACCCCACAGTGGCAGTCTGCCCTCACCCCATGCACAGATCTGGGGGGATGCACACACTCCCATGCAGGCCTGGGAGTGCACGCAGCGGTGGGAGTCACTTTTCCCTGTCCCCAAATTAGCTGTTTGCAGCTTTGTCCCACACCCCACCCCAGCTGAGCAGCACCTCTTGGGGCCCTTTGCTTCGGTGCCCAGGGAGGTCGCCCTGCTTGCACCCCCTCCACCCCCCCGGCACTGCTACTACTGGATTTTTTTGTGTTGTAGAAAATAGAGATATTATGCAGCGATAACCTTCCTTAAACCTTAGAAAGTAAACCATTTAAATAGGGTGGATCCAGATTACTTAGTGATAAATAATCCTCAGTATATGTGCAATCCACTAATTGGTGGGTACATTTAAAACAGATTGTAAAACAGCAAACAAATGCATTTAGTCTGATCTCTTCAAAATGGTTGGCTATCTATAACACAGTTTAGAACACTGATCAGAGGAATCAGAACCCTTAAACCTTAATCTGAAGTGCTTTGGGAAACAGGGAAGGAGAGACAAGACCCTGTGAATAATTACAGACTTGTAAGGGAAGCAGAGGGCACTGTTTGGATCCTGCAGACCTAATTCTGTTCAAGTACAGTGGACAATCTAGAGTTAACTCAATACTCAGGATCAACCGAAGATGTTGATACCCTGTGCAGTGCTGCACACAGATGTTCAGACACCTCTGAATAACTTTGCTCAGGTACCAGAAGCAGGAATCATGGTTACACAAACCTCCACTCAGGCTAATTTACTCCGCTTCTTAGAAGAAGGTCTGCGAGTTGCTCTGTGCTGAAGTGGCACTACCACTAGCTCAGGTACCAGCCATATGCTGTGCTGTGCAGTGCAAAGCTATCAAGAGAATACCACTGAGCCCTTTGCTTCCAGTCTATGCAAATTATGAGAAAGCTTCCAGTTTGGTACTTAGCTGTACTATTCCCTTCAGTCCATGTACGTGATGTTTTAATCAACTTGCCTCAAGCAGGACAACATGCCACGGTCTGACAGGTAATAAGTGCACCTACTTCTCTCCTTAGATTTGTTACATAGCTGTGAAAATTACACGTTTAGATACACACACGCAAATATTTTTAAAAGTCTCATTTTCAGTGATAAGTAATTTTCACACCTGTCTCATCAGCTAGTAAGTTGGGCTGGATTCCTGCTGAAGCTGCAGGAGTGGAACTAGATATTCTTGCTTTAGTTGTAAAAGCAGAATCCTGAAGAGCACCTTTTACTGCATTTAAGGGGATATTATCACATATCTGCACATTTTTCCTCCTATGATAAATAGCTCTGAATAGGGATCAGCTTTCTTTCTTTCTTTTTTTTTTTTTTTAACTATTTCACTGACCTCTGATAAACATCAATTTTCCTATTACTTTTGCAAACATTTCAAGATTACACTTTACTGCTATTTTGTTAATTTGCACAGCTAGAGTCTTCAAGACACTGTAACACATATCCTATGCCCCTTCTTCACCAATACATATAACTACAATCTTTTCTCCAGCTTCAGTGAGTGGAGTAGAACAGTTACAGAAGTCTGTGCTAGGAGATTCAAAAGATATCAGGTGCAATGTCCTATGTTCAATTCATCGATATTTAAGTACTGGAACACAGTTGTATGGCTTCAGATAGTTTGATGGTCTTCTAGCAGACCCCAGTATCTTCTGTTTCAGAGACACCAGAACTCTGCCAGAGCAGCAGAATATATATTAGGCCCCGCAAGATGCACAGTGCCTTATCTGAACTTTGCTGTTGCTGTAATATTCTTGTTATGCAGAAAGGTAAGAGTTAAATACATACTCGTGGGTCAGGACGAAATTCTCTTTTCCTGCGGATCTTCTTGAATATTTCTGTCAGCTCATCCTTGGCCTCTTCACCACCAGTTTCTGAACCAGGCCCAGCACTTGCTTCGGCAGAGGAAGCGCCTGCTTCAGCTGCAGCTTCTGGGGAGGTCTGACCAGGAAGTGGCGCATCAACCATGGGGTCCTCTGCGTGTTCAATCAGCCACTCCATGGCCTGTGTTACTGACATACTAAGGCAAAATTAACAGAAACACGAGGAGTCAGCAAAGCTCAACAGGTAAAGGACCATCCGGCTGACAGAACCTTTGGCTTTTCCTCCTGAAACTTCCAGATTTGCCAACTGGTAATGTCAGCGAAATCCCAAAATATGAATGCCCTTCCTGGAGGTTCTCCTCTCATTTGGTTACAAAACTTCGGTGCAATTTCTGAGACTCTACCTTTCTGAAATATAATGGATACCAAAGGAAGCCTCTTTTGGAGCTACAGTGAAGGGAATGGAAGTTGCCGAGTAGGGAAAAGTCAAGGTTCAAATCTGACTGCAACATCAACCTAGTGCTTTCAAATGCATTTGAGGGAGTGAAAGAACCTCGGCATCATTGCGAAACCTCAGTGTCAGAGAGCAAGTCACTCTCTAGAGTTTGGTTTTGTAGAGAAAACCCTAATATGGCAAAGAAAATAAACATCTATCCAAGTTGGTGCAGAACCTGAAACCATAGCTCAAAGTTAATTCTGATACCCAGACATGATCATGGTTAAATGTCACTGTTACTACCTATTTTACTTCTGATCAAAAGAAATAAGAAAAGATAGAGACGAATATTTTCCAGTTGCACAGTTTACTGGAAGCAATAGCTCACTTTGGTATAACAAGGAAATAGGACCACCTTTCCTTCGCAAAGTCTGGATCACAGAGCCCATGTGAGCATTGGAACAAGGGCAGAGCATCCACACCTTGAACAGAGCCCATATTTGCACGTGAACCTAGTTGAAAAGAAAAAAAGCCACTCCTGAAAAGACCAACAGAGCACTCTGATCATAGTTTCAACATCTGCATGATCTGCTGTAAAGCAGGTGAAGCTTGGGTGAGCCACAAATTCAGGGCAGGGGAAAATGGAGATAAATGGTAGGGAAAAAGTAAAGACAAAAGAAAAGAAAAAAACCCCCACTGGATTAGTACAACCACATAAAAAGTTATGTAACCACAGGAGAAGAGAACAGCCCTCAATACTCCTATCTGGATACAAAAAACTTTTTTAGAAATCAATAAGAAGTCTAAACCAGCTCTAAAAATGGGTTAGATTTTTTTTCTTCTTTAGAAAGTAAAGGGGCTCTAAAGTGAGAGTTCAATACTTGTAAACAGCACCACACTGACAGCCTGCGGGCCATGTTCTCAGCACACGTATGGCACATAAAACAGAAGTGCAAGCTTTCTTCACACCATCCCCTGTACTCTACCTTGGATAGGACTGTTCCATGCACTAGTGCTTCATCCAGTCTTGTTTTAGGTGGTTCAAATAAAGATCGGGTTTGTTTGTTTACAGAAAATACACCAAGTAATAACGTTCATGGGTAGCCTCATTAATTGCCAACCTGGTAGTTTGCTGGGCATACTTACTGATTTAGACGAAGGGCTTTGACAGCTCGAGTCTCGGGAAACCCCATTTCTGTGAGCTGTCGCAGGGCTATTTCATCCACTCGGTCTTCCTCATCCTCATCCAACATAGCTACGAACAACAACATGGTCACGTTACAGCTCCCAGCCTGCTCCATCCAAGACCACATTTGTTAAGTTAGAAGCATTGATTTTCTCATCTCAAACATATCAAGTCAGAGATAGAGCTTTTCCAAAGCTCTCTGCCAATGCTGGATTGCTCACCTACACTTTCATTGGGGCTTTGGCTACAACAGCTTTCCATGTTGCAAGCCATGGTGAAAAAGACTTCCTTGCTACCTGGACAGGTCTATTTAACTAGAAGCAAGACTTTGTGCCATTACATGCAAGCCTCACCACTGATGTCTTGTGATTAAGTATCATTTCAACATGCAATAGTACTTTCTTTGTCAATGAGGAGTCCCCAGATGAGTCCCAATGATCCCATCCCAAACCTGCATAATTTGTGAGATATGGCTACATGTTTTCAATAACATGCGCAAACATGTTTTTGAATACTTTTTAAAAGGCCTGCTTCATAAAACATGGTAGAGATATGTTCATACCATTTGCCTTCTTAAATAGCTCAACTGCATCTGGGTTTAGTGCTAGCAATTTTTGTGCAACTTCTATCAGTGAAACCAAGATCTTCCGGAGCTCTGTCTGGAACTGCAGAAAAAGAAACCATCAAAACATTTATACAGGAAGCTACCAACAGTCATTTTCTCTTAATACATCTATTGTTAGAGCATCTGTGCTATGCCCTTGCCCCCTGTGGAGAAGGTTGTTTCATTATGGCTTTGCTTTTCATTGTGTTTAGCCTACAAAAAAACACTGGCATGTTTCCTGTGCAATGGTACACAGGGCAAGAAATACCTTGCTGAAAGCTTGATTTCCTGCATTGCTTTTCCTGCCATAAAAGAAAATGATACTGAGAAAGCTCATTTCTTCACAGGTAAAGGTCCCAACACTGCAAGGGCCTCTGTAAGGAGGGGGTGGGGGGGTGAGGAGACAGACAATCAAGCAGGCTTTGCAGAGATACTAGGAAGCTCTTTTTAGAAGTGGAACCCCTACTCCTATTGAAATAAGTTCTCTTGATTAGCACCCCTTTCTTTCAAGTACAAGCAGCCCAAGAAATGCTTGCGTCTTGTGAAATACATGCCCATACTGATGGGTCAGGACTTCCCCCTCCTACAGAGATTTTTTCTTTTAGAACATCTCATAAGTGACCAGTTGAATTGGTCACTAAACATGCTATGTGTTACACATTCTATCTTCATTTCATTAATAGACTATGGTAAAGACATATTTGATTTTTTAAGCTTCAATATTTTATTGAATTATTTTACAGCAGAATGCATTCTCAGAACAGGTACAGCAGAGAAGACAGCTGCATAAGCTTCCTTCATGCCACCCCATCTCTGCTCCGCCTTGGACAAAATTTCTCCCTGTACTAGTACTTTATCCAGCTTTGTTTTAAGTGCCCCAAACAAGGAAGATGCAGATAGAGGCTATGTCAAGCACATGGCAATATGAAACATGAAGCAATGCTTCCTTTCCGTTGAAGACAAGGCACTGGAATCTTAGAGCTCTGAAAAAGAGACTTGAACAACAACAACAACAACAAAAAGAACCAAAAACCTGGCTCAGCCAACCAACATCATCTAGACGCAGGCAATGTATTTACTAACTGATCAATAGATGTTATGCTTATATCAGCACAAAGCATTACAGACTGTTCTAAGCAGTTGGGTGACCTGTCAAACAAGTAACTGTTTAATATTATTGATCTTAATATGAAGTATAACCAAAAATACAGGAATAAAAAAAAAATATATCTGTGGGGAACACAGTTTGCATCTACACTGGACTTTCAGTTCAAATCTTCTTTATAAAGATAGACGGAGACATGAAGACACAGTCATTTTTAATTTCTTTGTGTGACAACAGAACAAAACATGTAAACATTTTCCACATTTAGAGGTCTGTTTCAGGTTAAGCATGTATGAAGCAAGGGAGCATAGATCTAACACTTCTTTAAAAAAAAAATCATAACCCCAAAGAATTTTGAATTCCAGCTGAATGATACTATGCTAGTACATTAGATCCTGGAAGTGAAAATTGAGGGCATTTATACATGTGCTCTGGGAGTTGAGGGGGGTGGGGTGGATGCTTTAATTAGAGCAGATCCAAGAGCCCCGATAATTAAAGTGCCCGGAGCATCTCGTGTACCAGCATCCCCACAGCTAAAAATGGTGGCAGAGTTAATTTAACTAAAGCTCATTCGACAAACTTTAGTTAAAAGCGTCCCACTGTTATGCTGATACACAAGATGCTGGAGTCTGCTGTAGCGTGGTAATTACAGTGCATCGGAGGCTGCTCATGTACAGGTGCCCTAGGAGTCTTATTCCCTTGTAAGAGAAATGTGAAAAGTAAAAAGAAACAGGGACAAGATAAACGCTATCTTTCTAGGGCTGTTTTAAATAATCCAAGCTAATGGTATAAGAAGAAAGAAACCTTTAAAAATATTATTTTTGAACAGAGATGCAGGCCCTACATTTGCCATCCGTTTCAAGTTTTAGTGAAGGTGAGCTAATCCTGTTCCTGTGGCAGAACTCTAGATTTAACATGCAACTTAAACATGAAACCCCATACTTACATCCCTCATGTTGTGGTGGGCCACTGTGCGATCCACGCTGCGAGAAGGCAGATTTGCTGTTGCTTTGAGAATAGCATCCTTATCGGGAGCTTTCTGTTCCTGTTTCTTCTACAGAATAGGAAGCACGATCAGATTTTTGTAATTAGTATTCCAAAGAGTAAAAGGAGTGAGGCATAGCTATCTGCAATTCCACATTCTTCCCAAGCAAATGGAGGACCACGGAGCTACTTGCAACTAAGGGAAACCACAGTCTAGCAGTGCAAACCACTTTGCATTTACAGGGCCAAATCAAGAAAACAAAATCCCCAAACAATATCCCAACTTTTATTTCAAAGAATGGTATTTGTCTGATGAACTGCACAGGACCAACTGTGAGCTCAAAGCTTACTGGAAAACTGGTGCCCTTTGATGGAAAAGATGCAGTCAAATGGCTTATTCTGAATTCAGCTGCCTGCTGTGAATTCCTGCTGGATAGGAATGATTTTGGTTTTATTGCAATAGAACACTCCTCTCAAACACAGCACTGAATATCTTACATAGTAACTAGTCAAAGCACTGCACTGCTTGTAAATACCATCCAGGGAAACGCAATGCCTTGGACTCGCTCTAAACTTTCAACAAGTGCTTATTGTCCAACACTGGACCTTAGCAGGGCACTGGATTAGATGACCCTGGAGATACCTTCCAGTTCTATGCCTTAAACTCCTGAGGCTGTCACTCAGCACCACAGGACCATGGATAAGACGACAGGCAAATACAAATACTGACAGGAAACTAGTGTCACAAGAGAAGTGATAGAGCAAGAGAGACAGAAGCAAGCAAATAGATCAGGTTGTTTGTAACGACAAGGAGAGGTAGTGTCAACTTTTCTATCACCAGTGCCGAAGCGTGCTTAACAACACAGATTAATTAGAGGGAACCCCATAACCACCTATGCTAAAGATGGAATTTAAGTTTTAGCAGTGCCTCTGTTAATGCCCTTGAGACCTGCTTGGCCATACTGGGCTTTTCACCTTCTGAAAACAGAAAATAGAAATGGGTATGGCCGCTCTAAATTGGTACGTTTTGGAAGACAGAAATGCAAAAAGGCACAACCTACGATACTAATATTAGATTAAATCCTATATAAAGATCAACCCTGGAGTATTTCCACAGAGCCTACCTATCCTATCCTAGAGCTTACGTTACTGCAATATTAGACCGTGTGCGGTAGCATTCTCTGTAAACTTTAAGAACAACAAATCTTAACATTATTTCTTCTTCATTTTCCGCCATAACTAAAGAGCAAGCATCCACAGTTATACTCCTCCCAGCTATCAATAAAAGGAAAAAAAAAAATGAACACAAGAAGACCATAACTCTTTTGAACTCACTTTCTCCTCTGCTGATACATCTGCCATTTTGGGAAGTGGAGGGGGCGCACGCTTCTTTATTAATAGCAAAACATCTGGAAAAACAACAAGAGTGGAATATGTTCAAGAATAACATGAGGGACCAGTGCCAGGCTGCTTTTGCTTTAAAACATCAGAACGGTCAAATAGAAAGGCTAAATAAAGATGGCTTCTGTTTCTTGCTTGCACTTAATTTCATTGGAACGGTCAGGAATTTCTCTGGCTTAAAACATGGTTGTCAGCATTAGTGGGCTGTTCATCATTGCATTACACTGGTGCATACAGTCCAAATGCAGCATCATTGTACTAGGGCAAGAGAGTCAAAAGATTAAGCTATCTATAAAACATTTTACAAAAGCTATGCTCAGGCCGCATCTACATGAATGGTGGACTGCACAGTTATTTCACACTCATTTAGTACTTGCTTAACCAGTATTTTTGCTTTTGCGCAGTTTTTTTTTTTTTAATGTTATTGCGCAGTACCGTTGCTGTCATGGTTAATGCCCACGGATGCTATGGCACAGTAGCAACAAGCTACTGCACCGTAGCATCTTGTGTAGACGTGCTCTGAATGCTTTACTAATCAGAGTAAGCAACACGTAAAATGTAAAGCAGTAGCCAAGAGAAAGGAAGGTTCAAAGATAACTCATTTTAATCCAAGTTGTTTGTTGGGGGTTATGTTTTTTGGGGGGTTTTAAAATTATTTTGAGAGATGTAGTCAAAAAGTCTGACCCTCGCAAGCAACAGTCTGACCTCAGTTACACTGGCACAGCAAAATGATGTCAGGGAAATCATACCAGCTTTGCCCTGCTGTAAAACAGCTCAGAATATGGCTCCTGAATAGTTACACTCTGTCTGTTACTGGACTCCCCCTCACAAGAAAAAACATTTCCATGGGAAAGACGGAAGGCAAACACCCCCAAGTTTGATGCTTGTTTGGGGGAAGTGAAAATAACTGGCCCACTGCAATGACAATGTGGCAGCAGTGTGAGCAAACTACACCAGCTCCTGGAGAGAAACTACCTAGAGCTAGGCTGCCTACAACGCTGTCTATCTTTGGGATTTGCCCTAGTCACAGCCCTCCCTGGCCAGCTACCCTGCATAACTGCAGTGCTACTTGCAGTAGCAGAGGTTAGCCCTGATTTAAGGGGAAATGACCCCTTCCAGCAGCTCACTTTCTACAGTGGGGGTGTTTAATGGTGGCTGCTCACCCATGCCTGTAATGGATGTGTCCTCAGGGTGGACAAAGCCTGAGTATGAAAGCTCCCTCATGTCCCAGGACATGCTTTCCTTCAGCCTTTTACTACTTTCCATTTCCAAAACATTGTTCTTCAAAGGTCTGTAAGTGCTTCAATAACCAGTTGCTTAAATAGGTCTCCTGGACCTCTGTTACAGAGGACATTACAACCTGTTCTTCAGGTGGAAGACAGAGGCCGAAGTATGTAAGGGCCCCATTTTCCAGCAGTGCCCATCCCTATTAACTGTAGATGCCCAAGAAGGATGGAAAAGTTTCCCTTATTGTTTTAACCTTCAGACCTTGCTTTGTTTCTCATTCTTTCACATTTGAATCCAATAGGGCAATTAGATGCCTGCCACAATAGTACTGGCATCAGCCAAGCTACACCAGGGATTCATTTGGACCTATGGCTGCAAAGCACAACTGAAGTGTACACTAGCACCAAGACATTTAAATAAACTTCAGCAAGTACGGAATTTGACTACTTGACTTGGAGGTCCAATGCATCTCAGCTTCATTCCCTTTTACTTACTCATACTCACCTATCAAAATAATCCCATTTAATATAAAAACAGGCATATGAAAGTGATCATGAAAAGTCCATTTCACCCAGCTTCAGGAGCATCAGACACAAGTTCTGAATGGATAAAGCTGTATGCACCCAGAATACAACAGTGCTGGTTTTTTTGTTTGGCAAGTCTGTCTTAAATTGTTTGGCTTACTGATTTAGCTCACATATACTGAATTCAGGCTTTTATTTCTGTAGAAACGTGTTGCAAAATACAGACTAAGTGGTGTTGGCTTTTTGGTTTTTGAAAAAACACAAACTTGTTTATGTATTTCCCAATCCTTACAGCTCCTTTATAAGAGAGGTTTCCTCATCTTCAAACCCCAAACAAGTAAAAAGGTAGTCACAGTTCCACATACACCTGCAATTAAAATACACTCCCATGTTTTTAGGATCACAAGTTACAAATGTATGGAGGCTGCTTACCTTTATCTTGAATGTTTTCCTCCAAGACTGTTTTTCTATCAGTCAGCACCTTCTCTGAAGTAGCATGTATCAGTTTATGATGCGTTATGCTTTTTGGATCCTCCAAGCTACCAGGTACACACTAGAGAAGATAATAAATATTGAGCATCAGAGGACAGGAATAATAAGCTTGCTGCATGAATCACTGCACCTTGCATTAAAGACTCCATGTTCAACCTGTGCCAGCATTTACTTATTTCTTAATAGCTTAAGTAATAGCACAATATGCCAGAAGCCAATATACAGCACATAATACGCTAAAGAAACATAAGGCTGTGTCTGGCTGTAACTGGTCTTGCAAACTGTGGCAGCAAAAAAGGGTTTATTTCTGAGGAGTCAAGCTCCCTGGCTGAGATCAAAAATATGCCGAAGAAAGTAAAATCACTTTAGCCCCATCTCATTGACGTAGATAAATTAACAGCTGGCAAGATGGAGCATCTAGGTTCTTTCAGATTGTTCAAGCTCTTAACAACTTTCTCGAACACCCTACTGCAAATACTCACAACTCTTCCACATGCAGACGATCCTTTTGAAACCAATATGCTACCTGTCCAACAGCTACAGGGTCAAGACTCCAAAAGTGAAAGAAGAAACACTGGATAGAAATGTTTGGGAATTACAGCAAAGGCTTAATTTGACTAGTGATTTGGAAAACCTGAGAGTGACTGAACCTTCAATTGCACAACAGAGTATACACACAGCTTGATTCTATCTAAGAAAACAAAGATAAATGGATTCAAAGGGCCTTAAAAATGTTCACCCAAAGGATGAAAAGGTGGCTATGCCAATAAGGTCAGTACTGAAACACCACTTTAAAGTGATGGTGCTCCCATCCAGGATGCCTGGCTTTCATTTAACAGTTTTCATGTGCATCTGCAGAGCTTCTAAGGGCTTTTTCAAAAAATACATGCTGCACAGAAACATAGTTTTGAACACAGGGTGTTACTGGTGGATCATTATAGCTAGAACACCACACGGCTTGCAACCGGTCAAAACCAAAACCATCGCTGCATCATTCACTGTCCATGTTATTGGGAACTGAATGGTGACTTCCAGCACTATAGCTGTGCTGCAGTTTTTCTAACACTAGTGAAATAAGGTACTGTATTCCTAACCTGATAGATAACAGCTTTGTCTTAAAAGGAACATTTTCTTTTGCAGTCTTTTTCTGTGTTGGTAGGTGACTGAGTTTCTGCCTCCAGGCGAAGTGCAAGTGAGGACAGTAGAAGTTTAGAGCTGCTTTTAACTGGGCAAACTTCCAGTCTCGAGTACATCAGCATACTCCACGTAGAGTGGATTTATGCTGACGTGACAATGCAGATAGTATCCCACTGGCAATACAGGCAAGTCTCTGGGCACGAAGACTAATGTTCAGACAAAAAGGGGGATTTTAAGGAGAGTGGCAGCTCACAAGGTAGCAATTAGCCCTTCAAGTTAAAAGACTGAGGAAAAGGACAGAGAATATCTCTAATGCTTCCTATGATGGAAGGCTGTAACATGGCCAGCGGGCTTCTTCAAAGTGTTAAATGGAGAAGCTGGCTGCTTAATCTAGCATCACTATTTGCTCATGCATTGCCAGGTTCACCCATCATTTATCAGGGATGGTCTGGGTATATTTGATCCTGCCTCAAAAAGGTTGGGGTGGGAGGACATACTATATGACCTTGAGGTCTCAGCCAGCTCTGCCTCCATCCTACAGATATATCAAGTACTGCACCACGGCATCCTTTGGAGAATCTGAAAGCACCTGCTAACACTGAACACAAGAAATCTGAAGCACTGGCCCCGTTCTATAGATCAGAAAGGCAGTGGGAGTTTCTGAATCTTGCTTCAATTCAATGGAATTAACAGTTAGTATCAAGATACCTGCTTTACCCACCAGACTGAAGTTACACCATAAAGTCTCTTGTCATTTTCCTTTTACTGTTTAATGACTAGTTCAATTACCAGAAAAGAAAATGCATTTTCTCAATTTCTTAAAAAAAAAAAAAAAAAAAAAAAAAA